GACAGACCTTCAAAAGCCATTCAACTAACGACTCATTTAATGTGATTTTGCCTCAAAAGGCGCCACAAATTAGTGATATAAACAGTAATCAGACGTCAGTTAATAGACTCATCGATGGCATCAACTCATCGAATATACCACTCATTCAAATCGAACCGATCTCTTCAGTGTCTGTTCCCATCATAAGCTCAACCATTCACAGGTCATCACCTAATTTACGGCAAACCCTAACCGTTAACTCGTATTCAATGCCCACGTCGTCCTCAATGATGGACTCGAAGGTTGTGTCGCTCTTTGAAGCGAATAAATCGGACGACAAAACCATTGCTGAAGAACGCAATGATCTCGTGATGAAAGATAGGGCTCCAGACATGCCATCGATTTCAATACACACCGAAATGGATGGAGTATTGGCTGAAAACAATGCCAACCAAACGATTACCGTTAGTTCAAGCGATGAATCTTCAGACAAACTGCCGCTTATGTCGTCCAATGCGACCATCAGTTCTCTGCTAGAAATCTCATTACCGGAGCCGCCATTCAGTGATTCAATGATCCAATGTTCTAGTCTTACGGACGGCTATACCATCGAGAAGAGGCCTTTCGAGAGACTAACGCTTCCCGATATGGCGTCCGACTCGGGCGCCCACCGCAAGTCCCACAACAACACTGACCCAACCCTTCTCACGTCGGTCTCCTCCTCGTCATCCCTGGCCAGCCCTCCCATAGAGCGCCACAAATTGAGTACATCTCCCGTCTCGGACTCATCTCATTGGCTGAATGGCGAGTCCTGTGACCTCTCCATCGGTACTCTACTCAACGCCTGTGAATCTCCCGTCAAAACAATGGCCGCCAGAGAGAGGGACAGCCATTCGCTAACCAATGATGTAATGATTTGTTTGTTTCATTGATTAATGCATTCATTAACTAATCGATTGATTTGTGTCCCAAACAGGTGTCCATCTCTCAGATGAGTTGCTTAGTGACCGACAATAGCATTGATTTGATGTCAAAGTTCGCCGACTTGGCCGCACAGATAGTCGACACTAACTCTAAGTCTACTTAATTTATTAAACAAAACAATTTTCGCCACACTTTTGGTGTTTATATTATATTTCAATAATATATAAAAGGTTTTCCAGAAATGTGGCCAAACTTTTCGGCAGCTTTTCGTTGGAATTAAATTTACTGTAAATAAGATTTTTTTGTAATTTTGAGATTTATTTGTAAATAATTGTATTGACGACAGATTTCTCTCACTTTGAGTTGTGTTTTATTTATTGTAATTCTTATTATATTATGAAAACCAATTGTTATTTAAGAGACACAATACTTATTAACATTAAATTTGCGGCTAATTGTGTATACTTTGAAATAAATTATATATTTTTAGCTTAAAGTTATACTTATTTTTAGGCGTTATTTCCTATAATAGGAATCTTATTGTACTGTATTTTACAAAATATTTTAGTGTTTGTGTTATAATACCACAAGAATTTGACGATGTTTTGCATAAATTGATAATAAATAAGATTTAAATAAAAATTGAATTTACAACCATTACATTGCCAAACATTACAACATTTCAATATTTTTCTTGATTTACATTTGATGTGCTCTCTCTCTCTCTCACACACACTCTCTCTCTCTCACTCTCTCTCTCTCTCTCTCTCTCTCTTTTATAAAATTAAATATATTTTTCGCTTATTATTATAATTTTAGCAAAAATTATAGAAAGTGTTTAATAAATACTATAAATGAGTGACAATTCATAATAACGTTATTTAATTTCTGTAGTTATTTCATTAGTGAGTTATTTATAAATGAGTGAAAGTGATACAAACTTTTACATTAAATTCACTGCAATTTTGTGAAGTCTCTAATGATATGCATAATTCATATTTGCTTTGAATATACAGTGTATTATAGTTTCAAATAGAAAAATACGCTTATTTTCAAAAGCATTTATGTTTTGAATATATTATTATTAATATTACATTTAATACTCCGTTTCTATAGTTCACTATATGATAATTAAGGCAAATATGAAATTCAATGTATTGTTAATACAAAACTAAAAATAAAAATTCAAACAAAAGAATATAATTTGTCGAAAGAGTTGTTTTAATGTCGATTCCCAGACATTAATAGGATTTTGAATATAATTTTTATGAATTTTTCATTAGTAATGCTCTAAACATTTGAATGTAATTCCTAACAAACTTTGTGCTAATAATTTAATGCTATTTTATATTCATTTGTCGCAAAAGTCCTTAAAATGAAATTTTTATAAAAGACTTTAATCCGAAAAACACAACAATTCTCGCAATACTGTTGAGTATTATCTCACAAATGAAAAGTTCATTATATAATGCTTTTGTAATAAAAATGTTTTAATAAATTATTTTAATGACCAGTTAGTGATGATAATTGTCTGTCACTCCCAAAAGCACCGAC